GTTTGAGGCCACCCTTGATAATTTAGTGAGGCCCTAAGCAACTCAGTGAGACCCTGTCTCAAAATAAAAAATTAGACTGGCGATGTAGCTCAGTAGTAAAATACCCCTGGGTTCAATACCGGTTCCAAATAAAAAAATAAACAAAGCCAGGTTGTATGCTCCCTGAGGGCTGATCCTCCCAGGAGAGATTTCTCATGACTGTTCCAGGCAAAAAAAAAAAAAAAAGAAAAAGAAAGACTAAGAAGCAGAAGCCCTAAATTCCAGGCCACTCAGAAAAACCTGAAAGAGAACCTCAGGAATTTTTTCCATAAGAAAAATGACCAGGGTGGCTGTTAAGACCCAGTGAAACTGTGGTTACAAAGCCCATTGTAAGGGATGCCATCACCGGATCCGTTATTTCTGCCTGTCACTCCCCAGGCCTCGGGTCTCCACCAGCTGCCATCTCTGCAAGTGGTCCTGCCTCTGAAACCCCCTGCCGGGGCGGCAGAGTGCACCCACCCCAACTCCTTAGGGCTCACTCATTCACAGTTTACCTGTTGCTGAGGGCGGGGGACATAGCCTCAAGTGTCTTCCACTTGAGTGATCTGCTGCTTCTCTATCCACCACGCCTCCTTCCTTGTCCTGAGGTCCTGAGAGAGGACAAGTTCACTCCCCCAGGGCTGGTCCTGGGCCTCTGTTCCCTAGCAGCACAAGCGAATCACAGTGTGTGGGGAGAGTGTTTTTAGGAGGGGCACGCAGCCAAAAGGCTTTGTGGGACAAAACCTTGTTTCTGTTCAATGGGACTACGTAAACAAATCGCTCTCTGGCTATGGAGGGCTTACGTGTGTTCTTTCCTCTTGTGAATCACGCTAGCTTGGGATTCATTGGGATCCTATAATCAACACTGAACAGCTGCTGGCTGCAGGAGGGGCCCTGAGAGCCAGGCAGAGCCAAGTCCTGTGGAACCAGTTAGAGAATGATTGGGGGTTTTGGAAGGGGGGACAGTCATAGAAGTTCCAGATCTCAGTTCTCACCAGGTTGTCCTTCTGGGTCATCTCTCCTCAGAGGTGTGAAGGAAGGCAAGCCACCCAGCAGTTTCCTGTCTGAAAGCCATTGGCACAGCCCACCATTAGTAGGCCGCCCATGTTGTTGGGACCAGTGAACCTCTGAGGTGGGAAGCACTGGCCAGCACCTGCCCTGTTGCCAGGGAGCAGAACGTTGTGGAACATACAACTTGATTCCTGGCTTATCAAGCAGGAACTGGGATGGAGAAGGGGTTTTGAACATCCCTCCAAAGGTCCAGAGACTTTTCCTTGGGCTTGGTCATTGTAACAAAAGTTCCTCCTCCCCCAGAAAGCTCTGAGACCAAACAGTATGACAGGTGGTCTGTGGAACAGACAGCTGTGGCACACTGCTTGGGCTCAAATCCTAGCTTGGACGAATACTTCATATTTCCTGGACTTCTTTCTTCATCCACAAAGTGGAAATGACAGTGGAATCTATCACATGGGATAGCTGTTGAATAATGAGATAATGCATTAATAATGTTGAATAATGAGATAAAGACCCAGGGCTGCAATAAATACTGTTATTCTAAGAAAGGATCTTGCGTGAGAGTCCCTGTAGTCTTCCCCACCACTGTGAAATGAAAGTCTCTTCCGGATTCTGACACTTTGAATTAGGCCAGTGTAATATGTAGGCATACACACATACACATGCATACATATTATGTAGCATATATACGAGGATATAATATATGGGTCTGTCTAGCTGCCTATCTATCCATCCTCTGGCCTCTGAACTCTGGTGCATCAAGAGGAAGTCTCACTTTCTTCATTTGGACCATGGAGAGCACACAGGCACTTTCCCAACAGCAGTAGGGTGATATGAGTCATTCTGGCCCATTGGGAGTGGGGAGGGTTGGAGAACCTTTTCAGTGTAAGAAAACCTGGTTGGCCAATGTGCCCCGGACTATTTCATTCAGTCCCTCCCTGTGTCATAATGATATGGATTATCTCCCAGAACTTTCATGTTTATTGTGTTATTTAATTTTCACAATGATCCCACAGAATAAGCTGTTTATTATTAGTCTGGGGATTGAACACAAGGCCCTCTACCACTGAGCTACATCCCCAGCCCTTTTTCTTTTTGATTTTGAAACAGGGTCTCACTAAGTGGCCCCAGACTGGTTTTGAACTTTAGGCTAATAAGATGTTATCCAAGAGGCCAACTGGGACCTGGAGCTCCTACCTCCTGACTCCCTGCTCCAACGAGCCATCCAGATCCCATTCATCTTTGCCCCAGGTGACACTACTAGGAAGCCCAAGGTGATTGCAGCAGGAAGGAGCCTGTGGTCTGTAATAACAGCACGATTTAGTTACAAGTTGAGTCAGGGGTAATTGGGGGCAAACACCGGGCAGAGAAAAGACTGACCCTGTCAGACTTGGCTCATCCTCTTCCCTCTTCAAACACTCCCGCTCAATTGTTGACCTCCAAGCATCAAGGAAGTACGTGACACCACTGCCAGAAACAAAATGTGCGGGGTCAAGTGCACGTCCAGTGTGCAAACAAGAAATTCCAGGTGCCCTGAAAGGGAGCGGTGTTGCTGGCCTGGCAGTCACAAGAGCTTCCTGGGCCTGCATTCTGTGCTGACTGTGGAGCTGGGAGTGAATCACTCACCCTTCACAGCACCTGCCCAGGGACAGGGGCAGAGCCTCTCAGCCCCAGCCCCAGCTCTCCTGCATGGTGCCAGGAGTCAGGAGTGATGTCTTCCTTCCTTCCTTCCTTTTTTTCTTTCTCGTGATGCTGGGAGTGAACCCAGGGCCTCGCGCATGCCGGGCAAGCACTCTACTTCTGAGCCACATCCTCAGCCTTCTTTTGTATTTTATTAGAGACAGGGTCTCACTGAGTTGCTTAGCACCTTGCTAAATTGCTGAGGCTGGCTTTGAACTCGCAATCCTCTTGCCTCAGCCTCCCGAGCCACTGGGATTACAGGCATGCGCCATGGCGCCCCGTGGGAGAGTATGGTTTTAAGCACCTTGAACTCTCTAAATGCTACCAACTTGCTGAGCCTCAGTCCCTCCCCTTTGCCATACATGAGGGTATTGGACTAACTGTACCTGAGGTCCTGTGGCCTGACAGCCTGTGGTGATCTGTGCCAAGTGACCCAATTCCTTCCCTTCCATCCTTTGTGAGACCAGGGTCTCCAGAACCCTTGAGGTGGGAAGGGGCAGAGAAGAGATTCCGCAGGGCCAGAAAGAGTCTCCTTGAGGGACTTGAGAGTGGAAATAGGTTTGCCAGCTTCCAAGAGGAGTGGGGGCAGGGGCAGGTGGTATCCTGTTAGAACCATTTCTAATAAACCAAGCTCTGAACTAACCAACTTACACATACCATTTCACTTCATTCCTTTTTGTTCATTCGTCTGTGGTTCTTGGGATTGAATCTGATGCATTGTGCATGCTGGACAAGCACTCTGACATTGAGCCACATCCCCAGCCTTTTTTTTTTTTTTTTTTTTTTTGAGACAGGGCCTCACTAGGTTGCTGAGGCTGGCCTTGAACTTGTGATCCTCCTGCCTCAGCCTCCCAACCTGCTGGGATGACAGGGGCACATCACCACACTTGGCTCATTTAATTCTTAGGGCAACTTTTTTTTTTTTTTTTTTTTTTTGTACTGGGGATTGAACCCAGGGGCACTTAACCACTGAGCCACATCCCCAGCCCTTTTAAATATTTTATTTAGAGATGGGTCTCACTGATTTGCTTAGGGCCTTGCTAAATTGCTGAGGCTGCCATCGAACTTGTGATCTTCCTGCCTCCGCCTCCCCAGCTGCTGGGATTACAGGTGTGCGCCATCGCACCCTGCTATGGTGACCTTTTGAGTAAGTATTAAGCCCATTTTACAGATAAATTAATGTTCAGGATGCTTAAAGCTATACTATAGAGTCTAGATGAGACTCAAATTCAGGGCTCATATTCTTTCCATCCAACTAACAGAGGGTGAAGGGCATAACTAAGACTATTCTTTTACTTAGAGTCTGGGCCTTTTCTGAATCCTGCTGGCACCATCCCCTGGCTAATGACACTTTCAGAGAGGCAGCCCCTTCTAGGAGTTTCCATTCATTTTTAATGGCCCAGCAGCTGTGGCCTCCCACACCCCATCGACTAGCCCAGGACTTTCTCTGCAACCAAGCGCTCTCACCATGTTGGCGCCTGTCAATGTTTAATGGCAGCAAAGGATCTTATCTCAGTTACCCAAGTCGTTTAGATTACTCCTGCTCAAGGACCTGGCGTGTGGGGGAGGTGGCAGATGGCAGTCTCAACATCACCCCTCCGCTCTGCAGAGGGAGGAGGGGTTATTGGAGTGGAAAGGGTGGCAGGAGAGAGACGCTCTAAGGGACAGAAAGCCTGATTGCTCATTTGCATGGCTCTGGTCACACTTGGCTCCCACAGGGAGCACTCCTGGGTGCCCACTGCATCCCCGGTCAGCGTCCTCCTGGGAGACCCCAAACACATCTAGTGAGTGGATGGCTTTCTGTAGGCCTAAATATAGATGTCCTTTGCTTCCACTCTGATGTCCCCGGAGCATCTGAATCTCTGCTTATTTTCCTGGGGGAACAGCATTCTTTGTTGCTCTTATAAACTGTTGAAAACAAGGACCTTGAGTGTTCCAGGGACAGAAACAGGTTGCAAAGAACACTCGAACCATACCTTTGGCCCAATCCTGCCATGGACCTGCAAGCTGGGGGGTCCCCACACTCTGGGTCCCAGCTCTAGAGTACTCAGGGGGAGGGACAGATTCTTGCTGCTCTCCCAGGGCCAGGGGAATGCCCGAGGCAGATGACCGAGTTCTATTTGGGGAGTAGAACGTCACTGTCCCAACCCAGCTGGGCGAGGCCACTCAGATGTTATTTACAGACTTTGCCTAATGACCCAGCCTCCAAGCTGTGACGGAGAGCAGCGGATTCACGGCCTTCTTCAGTTTCTACTGCTCTTGGACTTTATCAGGTCCTGTCACAATGCCCCCCTCCTCTACCTTCCCTCTGTTCAGGTGCACTGTGTCCCCACAGCTGATGAGTCACTCACAGCTGGGAGTCTGGATAAAAGTGTTCTTAGAACAGAGGGAGGGGCTTGGGAGCAGAAGAGGGTACCTCACCTGTGCCAGAGGTCAGAGAGGTTGCCAGCCATGGGTTGGAGGGCTGGGAATGGGAGGCAGGCAGGAAGGTGAGGGAGGACAGGAGGGAAAGAAGGCCAATCCTCTCACAGGACTTCTGTAGGTTGGGGAGGGGGGTACGGGTAAGGATGAATTCACAGTCAACTTTGCTCCTAGTTCAAATGGGAAGTCCGGTTGAATGTAACCAAAATGGCCAGCACATCAGACAATGTTCACAAAACCAGGGCCCTGGATTCCCAAGGTGGGTTTTGAAGGTTGAGAGTAGGAAAGACTAAAGGATAATCCTGAGACCCTGTGAAACCCAAAGTATTGCTTTTTTGGGGAAATCAAGTCCCAGGAGGATGGCACTGATTTCCCTCCCAGGAAGGACCTGTGGGAACCTCAAGAAAACCAGACAAACCAGGCGTGGTGGTGCATGCAGGTAATCCCTGCGGCCGAGGAGGCTGAGGCCGGAGGATCACAAGTTCGATGCCAGCCTCAGCAATTTAGTGAGGCTCTATGCAATTTAGCAAGACCCTGTCTCAAAAAATTAAATGGGCTGGGGATGTGGCTCCGTGGTAAAGGGCCCCTGGGTTTAATCCCTGGTCTCAGGGGGAAAAAAAAAAGAAGAAAGAGGAGGAGAAGGAGAAGAAGAAGAAAACTGACAAAGGGCAGCTGTGGGCAGTGTTGCCATTGTTCTCTCCTGGGGTCCTGTCCCAGGGCTCCCTCTCCCTAGGGCATAGGTCCAGCGCCCATAGGTCCAGAGAAAAGGAGCTCCAGCAAAGCCACCACTGCAGGGGTTGGGTTGGGCTAAGAGGAGGGGAAAATCGAGTCTGAGGCAGAAGCAGGGTTTGGTTCTTCCTCCTGAGTCAGCTGTGACTGCCCAGGGCCAGAGAGCAGAGGCCTGCGCCCAGCCCAGAGCTTTGGGATGCTGCTCTTCCAGGATTTTACAGCAATTTGAGCTCTTTGTGGTCTCATGGCACTGAGCTCTTGTATAGAGGTGGGTTTGGAAGGTTGAGAGTAGGAAAGCCTAAAGGATAATCCTGAGACCAGTAAGCTAAACAGGAAAGATAATAATCGGTGGATACACACTAGGCACTCTAGGGGATCCTTTATGTCTTATTGGAAAATAAGAAGCGAGTGGCTGTCTTACAGGAGGAGTCTACAGGAGTTGCTAATAGACAAAATGTAGGTTGTGAGAGAAAATAATCGGTGGATACACACTAGGGACTCTAGGGAACCCTTTATGTCCAGTGTCGCAGAAATTTCACAATTATCTTCTAAGTGAGGTTCGATTGTTTTTTCCCACCTCACAGGGTAGGAAACGAACTCCTGGAGCGGCTGAGCAGCTGGAACCTCTCACAGGTGGCAGGGGACCGGGCAGGCATTGCCCCAGGGCCTCAGGGAGCCTGGCAGCTCCACCCTGGCAATCTCACGCCTCCTCTCAGTGCCCCACTGAGCGTCAGCTCTGCTTCAGGTGCTGACCTACGTGTTGGAAACGCGAAGGGGAGCGGGACACGGTCCTCCACCCTGAAGAACTCATGATTTGGAGGACACAGATGTGACTAGGGACAAGTGAGATAAGCGGACGAAGTCTTCAGTATTCAGGGGCGCTGGATCCTGTGCCAACCCGGCAGGTGAGAAAAGACACCTGTGGGGGGTCACCTGTGGGCCGCATCTCAGAGATGGGACCGCTTTGCTGAAGAAGCGGGGCGGGGATCGCGCTCCTGGCAGATGGGCTGTGCGCACCCTGGCGCGAGGTGTAGAGGCTCGGCCTGGTTGGAGCCAAGGCCAGGACCGTGTTTTGGTTTGGGAGGAGTGTGGGGAAGTCTGGGGGTGACACATGAAATGGAGAAATGAGCAGGGTGGTTCAGAATGCCTGGAAAGATCACCCCGAGGCCAGGGACACCACTGTAGGTTCCCAAAGGGCAGCGGAGCCATCGGGTTTGGGTTTTCCAAAGATCTCTGCTTGCACGCACTTCTGCTTTTTTCGGGATGACGCTGCCTGGGAAATCTGGTACGAAGAGAGAGGCGGTAAATGTTTCCAGGAAATAAAAAGTCCTCTGCTGCGCATGCGTGTCTCTTGGTGTGTCCGGCTATAAATAGACACAGCGCTGGGCCAGACACTCCCCCAGCGCCCGAGGGCAACTTGCTCACACTCGGAGCTGCCTCTGCCCCTCCTCTACTCCTCCTGGCCAGGCTCAGCCCCAGCAGCCCTTTCATCACCCAGCAGGCAGGGCCCAGGGTTGGCACCAGGACTGTCTGCTCTGCCGTAGCAGATTCCCCTTAGCACACAAAGCCAGCGCAACGCTGCAGCCGGAAGGGTGCGCCTTTGGCCAAAGGGGAAACGTGGTGGCTGAACCCAAGCTGAGCGTGAACTGACCCCTCCGTGGGGTGGGAAGGGGAAGTTGGCTTGAAGATGTGACTCACAGCCAGTGGTTCATAGACCATCCCGATCAGAAGCAGTGAATGGATGAGATGATAACTCTCTTCCCCTCCAACTCCGGGATCCTTCGGGACAGATCAGTGGAAGGAGAGAGACAAAAGAACAGAAAACACACACATGTGCACGTGTGTCCATACACATGGGCCCGCTTGGCTCAACGAGTGGGTCACCACACTGATCCAAGGGTCACAACAGACCTGGTCCCAATGTCTTCAGGAAGCTCTCCCAGGTCCCTGCTTGTGAAGCGGCTCTTGCCCACCATGGGCTCCAGCAGTAGTTCACTTACAAAGTCTCGTCATGGACACACCACAGCTATGTGGACAAATCTGTGAATTTGACTCTTTTGGAACCCTGCCCGGCTGTCAGGATTACAGTTATCATTTATGAATCCCTCCAGGTGTTGGGCAAGGCTTCAGACACTCCACAAGTTTCATCTATAATTCTCTCTTGCTGGGTGTGTGCTGTATGCCTATAGTTCCAGCTACTCAGGAGGGAGGCTGAGTCAGGAGCTTTGCCTGTGCCCAGAAGTTTTGAGTCCAGCCTCAACAGAGTGAGACCTCACCACCACCTTAACAAACAAAATTGGTTCAACTGTAACCCTCTCTAGACTCCCATGGGTGTGTGCCCCAGTTGATAGGTGAAGAAGGTAGTTCCACAAGGGTAAGAAATGCCCCAGGATCACATATAGTAGCTCATGATCCCAGGTCCCCTGTATTTGGAAATCTGTCTTCTTGGAGGGCATGTGGTTGAGGCACACCGTGTCTTCAAATCTACTCAAAGGATGGCTCCACCACATTGCAGTCTCTCCTCCTCCTTCCCCTTGACATGACAGTGATACTAAAATTGTAGCCCAATGAGTTGTCTGGGCACTTAACTGTGCAGAGACAATGCAATAAGGGCCAGGGAACAGCAAGGGCTAGTTGCCAAGGCTGGCCTCAAATTTGCAGTCCTCTTATCTCAGCCTCCAGTCACTGGGTTTACAGACCTGCATCATTGTGCCCCACATGGCAGGGACCTATGAGGGGACCCGGCACTGACTGGGGCAAGGAAAGTCTACTTGTAGTGGGTGGTCACTGTAAAATGGTCACCTGTAGGGACAGGGAAGTCACCCAGCTGCCTGTAACTGGTAAGAGCTGCCACTAGATTTTGTATCTGCCCCCACCTGGTTGTGATATCTGGGCACCTGCATCGTCTCTTGCTCCTCCCTGTGGCTCTCAGGTCATTCTATGATTTATTTCCGGGTAAAGAAGGTGGCACTTGAGGGTTGCCAGAGACTTGGTTTGGGAACCAGGAGAGGTAAGAGTCAAGCCAGGTGGGCTCCTAAGCTGCCCTTTCCCTGGTGTTTCTTGCACATTGCACGCCTCTGGGCCCTGTCTGACAGGTTGAGCAATCCTTTGGGGGAAAGCTGGCTCCTTTCCTCTGGCTCTGCGTCGCCAGGACTCACAGGAGGGAATGGGTGGCTTGAGCAGATCCTGGCACTACAGCTGGGGTGAGCGCAGCGGGGCGAAGCCCTGGGTTCAGTCCTGGGTTCAGTCCTGCAAGAGAAAAAAGAAGGAGACAATCCCAACGCCAGCCTTCTGGACAGAACTGCACTCCCTCTAAAGGATCACAGTAGCATTGTCTGCCCGCCTACCTCCTGTGTGTTTGGGTAGGGTAAGCTCGGCCTCCAGATGTTAACCAACTTGGGTGACCTGAGCTAAAATAAACAAAAACAAGCTCTCGACCTGTCAAACCAAGACGGGCCCTGTTGTGTTTACCAGGGTTTGCCCAAGGGAGTTGGGGCAGGAGAAGGGGCAGAGGCTACCTAAAAGACCAGTTGAGGTTGGAACTGGGGAAGTAGAATCTCAAGTCCTGGCTGTGTGTCCTGGGGTAAGTTACTAACTTCTGTGACTTTCCTTTTCTGATTTACCTCACAGAATAAAAATCTGTTAAATAGTTTGGCAAGCTGTAAAGTGCTGTAGTCTGCCTTGAGTTGTCACACCGCTTCTCTGTGTGCCTGCCTGGTCCCCTGGTCCCTCAAGAACAGGAATCATAGTGGGGCCTCCTGTGGTCTCATTGGACAACTCCTCTGGTTCCTTACGACTCGGGGTGACCATGGCCTCTTCCAGGCTCTTAGAGGCCTTTGCAGTCTCCACCCCCTTCTTCAGGATGCTTCTTCAGGGCTAGTTCCTCTGTGGTCGTTCTCTGGCCTCCTGCTCTGTAAGCTCCTTGCCTGTGCCCCCAAGTTGGAAAGGAAGATCCTGTGGGGGGCCCCTCAGTAATTGTTTACGAAATGGGGTTTCTAAGCCAGCTGCTGGGAAAGTCCTCTGCTGGCCAAATCTGCTTCACAGTTTGTGTCCTCTTCTCTGCCCCGTAGGACCACAGGCCATGAGCCAACCATTTGCTGGAATGGTCCTTCCGCATGAAGGGCACACAGGGCAACTCCTACAGGCAGAGTCCAAAGGAGGTGCATCCGCAGCACCAGTAGCACTGTTTCCAGGCCTAGGGACCATCTGCCTGGACACTGCATGGAGCCCAGGATGTGGGCTGGCCAAAGTCCTACCCCAGCTGGGCACAAGCCCAGAGTTACACAGGAACAGTCACACAGTCACTGTGCACACGCACCGCCAGCCCTGCACGCACCCAGAGGAAGTCAGACGATGAGAAATGGTGACTGGCTTTAAATAAACATAGCCAGCTATTTCAGATCGCAGGAGATTGGGGGCCTTTTCTGGGCTGAGACACACCTTGCCTGGAGCAATACCTGTTAAGACAGGACACTCCCAGCTCCCAACCAGGGCAGCTCAGACTCCAAAATGGGGGTCTGGCTCCCCCTGCTGGTGTACTTGGGAACACACCAGCGTGCCAACCATCAAACTGGATTCTACAGGGACACAGAGAGGAATACAGACATTTGGTGCTCTCCCTCTCTTTCTATTTCAGAGAATCATAGTGATTTACCTTTGTTCATCTTCATGAAGGCAGGACTCACCTCCCTGTCGTACAGAAGTAAAGATGAGGCTCAGAGTTCAAGCAAGTCTTGCAGATCCCACAGCAAGGTGGGGAGTCTGTCTCCTTCACCTGAGGACCCAAGAGGAAGCAGGAGTACCTACTGACATCACTGGTCTCCCAGACCCCAGCCAGATATCTCATCTGGGACTTTCCTTCTCTATCAGCTAGCACCTTTCCTTTGTCATGTCCTCTCTGGCCAAGAGTGAATACCAGATCCATTCTGTATTCTGAGCCCACTTAGTGAGCACCTGGGCCGGGCTAGAGGGGTCGCCCATGTTTAGCAGATAGTCAGAGATGCACAGAGAAACAGTTGCAAGATAGGCACCATCCCTGGGGCATAAGGGCTTACTGGGCTGGGGGTCCTGTTGTAGAACTTGGGTCTAGAACAGGGCCTTGAAAATGTCCCATTGGGCTGGGGATGTGGCTCAAGCAGTAGCGCGCTGCCCGGGTTCGATCACATACAAACAAAGATCTTGTGTCCGCTGAAAACTAAAAAATAAATATTAAAAAATTCTCTCTCTCTCTCTCTCTCTCTCTCTCTTTAAAAAAAAAAAAAGAAAAGAAAAAGAGAAAAGAAACTGTCCCATTGGGACCACTCCTGGGAGGAAATGTCCAGATTAGTCACACCCCTGCCTTCAAGCAGGGGGCAAGTTTCTAGGAAGAGATGAAGTGGCCCCGGGGTGAAAGTTGGAGGCTCCCTCTGCAGCAGAGGCCAGCCAGGGAGGGAGGACCATCTAGGCTTGGGCGCACTTCTCCTCATCAGGAGCCTCCTATGTTATCCTTCCCTCTGCTCTCAGTACCTCCTGGGTTAAAGGAGCCACTAGCTTGTCTTGCTGGGTGAGGCCTCTTTCTTCCCTCTGGAGAACAAGCAGGTTGAGAAGGTGTCTGTGACTAGTTTGATCTGATGATTCTCCTGGACACACCTTGGTTAAGAGGCCTTTAAAATAAAGCTTTAGGTGGTGAGCCTTAGGGACCAGGTCTTAATACAGGTTATAATATAGCCCTTTTCCCCCCAGGGATTTGGGTCTTCCCTGTGCCTATCTGGTCTTGGATTTCTGCAAGATGAGGAGTGTACAGGCAGGTCCCATGTTATGAGTGACATTGGCTCTCCAGCCTCTAAGTACCTTCCTAGCCTGGCTTCATGGTAACTGCTGGAGGTAGGGACCTGTAGTCCCCAAGGCTCATCTCCTCAACTAGAAGAAGGCTTTCTTCTAGGGACCATGAGTCCCTGATTCTCTCAGGTAGCCAAGATCCCTTAGCTGGCTTCCTTTACTGGGTGAGGGTCAGTACCTTAGGCAGGGAAACACCTGCCTACCTCAATGCAGTGATTACAGGACAAACTGGGAGCCAGGTGGACCAGGCACTAAATCCCAGTTCAACCAGTTCCTCCCTGTGTAACCTTGAGCAACCTGCTTAACCTTCCTGACCCTCTGTTTCCAAATCTGTCAGGACAAGAGTTCCCACGGCCTGAGGTTGTGCAGAAATGAAATGAGATTTTTCAGTGACTCAAGGGATACGATCACTGTGCCCAGGACAGGTGAAACTAGAGATTAAGTGTGGTATATTTTGATGGAGTGTTAATTTTACTAGGAAAAAGAAATGGGGACATGTATTCTGAGCTAAACCTGCAAAATGTGAATCTTGAATTTTTCAGAAGAAAAATATGACTGAAGTGTTTTGAGAGCTGACAGTAGTTCTGTGTCTGTGTCTGTGTCATGTGCCTGAGCCTCTTGGGGAGGCATCACCTGACTGCATGGGAAAGAGACCCAGGCTTCTCTGCACCTGGGTCTGGCACAACCAGTGTGAGTCAAGGAGACCTTCCCCGCTCTCTGGATAATCAAGAGTTTTGGCCTGACCTTTGAGCACACACCAAGATAGTGAGGAGCTGGAGCAAAAGCATAGACCATGGTGTTCAGCACATGTTCTGCAGGTCCAGGAGGGGCCTGCAGTATTTTACTGGAAACCCACAATTATGAAATCCAATGAGAGCCCATATCACGGTGGCATATTCTTTTCTTTTTTTTTAAATTTTAACTATATTTTCATTGATATTTCTTTTTTTAAATAATGTTCTTAAGAGCATTATTCTTTTTTTTTTTAAAGAGAGAGAGAATTTTTAATATTTATTTTTTTCAGCTTTTCGGCAGACACAACATCTTTGTTTGTATGTGGTGCTGAGGATCGAACCCGGGCCGCACGCATGCCACGCGAGCGCGCTACCGCTTGAGCCACATCTCCAGCCCTGCATATTCTTTTCGACAATTCATTTTCCTACAGTCTACACCTTCAAATCACTTGCATTTACATTTCAACAAGAACTTCTCATCCAAATATTAACAGTAATGGCAGCAAAATTCTAAAATCAAAAAGTCTCAAAATTTAAGACCACAATGCTGTATTTTTTAAAAAATTTTTTTTAGTTGTAGATGGAAACAGTACCTTTATTTTATTTGTTTATTTTTATGTGGTGCCAGGGATCAAACCCCATGCCTCACGATGGTAGGCAAATGCTCTTTTACTGAGCCACAACCCCGGCCCTGCTGTAAGTATTTCTAAAGTTTTTTGGTTGTTTTGTTTTGTAGCAGGGATTGAACCTAGGGGAGCTTAACCACTGAGCCACACCCCAAACCTTGTTTTTACATTTTATTTAGAGACAGGATCATGCTGAGTTGCTTAGGGCCTCCCTAAGTTGCTGAGGCTGGCTTTGAACTCTGATCCTCTTGCCTCAGTCTCCCAAGCTCCTGGGATTACAGGTGTGCACCACCATGCCTGGCTCTAAAGTACTTTTATTTATTGGTTCACTGCTGTGTGATCCAAACCCGGATGATCCTTAATGCCAGAGTACATACAGATCTATAAAACAGACAGAGATAAGTACAACACAACATCTCGGGAATAGATACTGCCTTAATGTCAGAATCACCTCCTTAGAGCTGGAGTAGACTTTAAATTCCTGTTCCTTTTTTGGTTTTCTTATCCAGCTGCTCCCCTACCAGACCTCATCTTTTTAAATTTTATTTTATTTTTTAAATATATTTTTAGTTGTTGATGGACCTTTATTTTATTTATTCATATGTGGTGCTGAAAATCGAACCCAGTGCTTCACACATGCCAGCCAAGTGCGCTATCGCTGAGCCACAGACCCAGCCCTTAATTTTAGTTTTTGTTTACCTCCCTCCATTCATTCCCATGCTCATTTGAGAAGATTTAAGATCTTTCAGCCTTGGACAAAAACTTCTTTTAGCAACTGTAAAGTAGTAGCAAGAGAACAGTTGCCCAAGTTTCAGATTAAAAAAAAAATGGAGCATGTATATTATGTGGCCAATGTCTTCACTCTAACTTGGTTATGAAACTAAAACCATTCCCTACTGTTGTAAGATGCTCAAAAAGTCATCAGGAGGGGAGGAAAATGGATGCTCAGTTGTTACATCAAAGGAAACAGCATTATTCTAGCAGCATCCCTTCCGTGTAAGCCTTCCGCTGTGAGCAATTTGAGGTCCCATGATATACTTGATGCTCATAACCGAAGTGGCTGGAGGATTGGGACTGTATTTATAGCATCAGCAGAATGGAAAAATGTGATTTTTTTGTTAATGCATGTCAATGGAGGAATGACCTGTTCTTGTTCTACAGAGAATGGAAATTGGAAGCCAAATGTTCTTTGTATTCCAAAATAGGATCTCAAAACATTTTGTTAGGAAGCTGGAGACATTAGTTCATCTGTCCTCCAATACACTGTTTAATATAGCACTGAATAAATGATAAGAGTTGTCAATGGATGAGTGATCAGCTAATAGTTCTGCTAGTAATTGATTAATTTTTCTGCAACAAAGTTGCATTTACACACACAGACACACACACACACACACCCTCCCCAA